GTTTCTTCCCCTGCCTCAGTCATCATGACAAAAGCGCCAACCAAAGGAATCCACTACTGGGGAATTTGTAACATATGTAGTTAGTGCACATTCCTATTTTGGTACAATTACTGAGAAGTAGATGACTGATTATTGAGGTAATCTTTAGCCTTCAAAACCACAACCACCATTGACACATTTCATCAACTTTGGAACATTACTTCAATAAGATTCATTCTGGCAAAAGGCCAACAAGTTCTGAGGCTTTTTGTTATGATAGTGTTTGTTCAGTATGAAAGTGAATATGCAAACTGCAAGCTGATGAGAAAAGAAACGAGAAATCTTTTTAGAGTGATCAGTATGGAGCAGATAGACTCATTTAAAGTTGAAAGTAACAACTTACAACTCTTGTTATGTAGCAGTCTACGTCCTGGTGGCTCAGTGGTTAGCATTGCTGCCTCACAGCGCCAGGGACCTGGGTTAATTCGAGCCTTGGATGACTGTCTGTGTGGAGTTTGCACATTCTCCCCGTGTCTGCGTGGGTTTCCTCCAGGTGCTCCGGTTTCCTCCCACAGAGCAAAGATAGGCAGGTTAGGTCTGGGCATGTGTAGGTTAAGCAGATTAGCCATGGGGGCTGCAGGGATAGGGTAGGAGGGTGAGCCTGGGTGGGATGCTCCTCAGAGAGTTGGTATGACTTGTTGGACTGAATGGCCTGTTTCCACACTGTAGGGATTCTATTCTGCTTCTTATACTGGAAACCATTATAAGCCAGGGAAGTCATTTCTGCCTGTCTTCTGAACCCCTTTGATTGGGTCTCTGTTCTAAAATAGATTACACTTTATCAGTTTTCATAACTTATTTTTGATCAACATCTTTTTCTATCACTTGGATAAATGTTACATATTTGAGAAATACAGCTTTGTCTTCTGGCATGATGAAATATTCTGTGTTAATTTGTACAACCCCTTAGCCAGGAAGTAAAGATGATTTATTTCAAGGCATGACCCCAAGGACAAGCTTTACCCTGCCGTCAGCTCAAATGGATATCAGAAGACCACACACTGTGTGGATTGCGATCACTCTTTTCCCCCAGCTGGTCAGTCTATACCCATTGGGTGGAGTCACTTTCAGTGAATGGTGGTAGGTGGGCACTTCGAGTTGGTGAATTAATACCAGACTGTCTAACTCAGGGGCCACAACAGCAGGATGCCCCGGCAGGTAAGCAAGGGTGAAAATGTCCCAAGATGGCATTGCCCTTTTTCCAAGTTCTCTAGATGAAGCAGCTGGGTCAACAAAGCAGTGGTGGCGTGGGATGGGGGAACTAATAGGTGTTGTACATTTTATACATCACAACAGCGCAGTTATTGCATTAGTTGTACACGTGCAACAGGTTTATTTGAAAGAGTTGTAAAATATCTCTGCAATCGCAAATGCCTACACTCAGGTTTATAGTCGCTTTTGTGACTTCTAGTAGCTTCTCTGATGTCTGTTTACTTGTCTCTGAGGCCACACCCTCATACAGTGAACATCAATTCATGACCAGACTCATATAATCAAAGATAGATCAAAGGAACATGACCATGGGACTTGGCCATAGGACAACCTGTGGCTGTATGGCTACATCTGTAGTCTGGCACCAGGAAAAGCTACTTTAGAGTTCTGCTCATTTCAATTACTGACTGACAGCTACACTGTTCCCCAACACTCTGGAGGAACTGGAGGTGATGGAAAAATTCCCAGGATCAGCGCTTGTGGGTGAGTAACCCTGACGCCAGCCCATGTCCCCCATCCTGCCTCTGGGAAAATGACTTTGAACAAGCTACCAATGCGTCCATCTCCCCTTCTCTCTCTCTCTCTCTCCCTCACATCCTCTTTCTCCAGGCAGAAAGTCTAATCGCTTCCAGAAGTTACCACCAAATCTGCTTTCCCCACCCTTCTCGGCTACAAATTCCAAATTGTAATAACTCATTGAGTGATAATTTCTCTGTACCTCATGTCACATTTCAGCCAATTATTTTACATCTGTGTCCTTTGGTTATTCACCCTCCTGCCAGAGGAAATGATTTCTCTCTATCAAGTCCATCAATAATTTTGAATACATTTTGTGTTAACCTTCTGTGCTCAAAGGGGAACAATCCCAGCTTATCTAGTCTCTCGAAGACACCAGGGACGGCTGCTTACTTTTCTTCGCAAGGGGATCTCGTAGCCATCAAATTACATTTTCAGAGATATAACCTAATCAGAAAGAAAAGCATTACATTTGACATCTTGTGATTATGGAGAAGCCAGTTTATTTGGTGCAGTAGATGAAGGTTACACTGTAAATAGCTGTGAAGGTCACTAGTACCTCCAATATTTATGCCACAGAGGATTTTCAGTACCCTCAGGGTTATTCAGAAAACCAGCTGTCAACCCAATGATTGTTTCTTAAAGACAGTTACCACAGCTTTACTTTGTCACGATGTGGAGGTGCCGGTGTTGGACTGGCGTGGGCAAGGTCAGAAGTCACACAACACCAGGTTATAGTCCAACCGGGTTACTTGAAAACTTAAGCTTTGGAGTCTTACTCCTTTTTCAGGTGTTAGTCACCTGAAGAAGGAGTAAGATTCCGAAAGCTTGTGATTTCTGACCTGACTCCGTCACACACCTATCGACAAACAGCAATGACCAGAGACTGCTACAGATTCAGCACATTCCTAATTTCTTCTAACAGCCAAGAATTAGCCTGGACAAGCAGAAACTACAAAGTCAGAGGTGACTTCACAAGAAAAATCCACTCCTAATCATTCATATCTGGCCATTCAACGACTATTTGTGTGCACAGTTCAGCAGCTTTGAAGCTTGATTTTGTCAGAAAATCTGATCAAAGAAACAATCAGTCTTTGGTATCTGAAATTCTTCTAACAGTTTCTCTTGACAGTACATTATATTGGGTTATGAAAGGATGTTAATTTTCCAAATCACCATTTGGAGTAGATGATGTTATAGAACATACTAGCTAAAAGAAATAAATATTTGCATTTGTAAAGTGTTTTCACATAATGACTGGGTGTTTCACTTTTTTATTCATTCACAGGTTGAGGGTGTCACTAACCAGGCAGCATTTATTGCCCATCCCTAATTGCCCAGAGGGCAGTTATAAGTCAACCACATTACTGTGGCTCTGGAGTCACATGTAGGCCAGACCAGGTAAGGACAGCAACTTCTTTCCTGAAAGGACATGTGACTCCAGACCCACAGCAATGTGGTTGACTCTTAACTGCCTTTTGGGCAATTAGGGATGGGCAATAAATGCTGACCCAGCCAGCGACACCCTCATCCCATTAATGAATAAAGAAAGATGAGTTTTTCCTGACAATCAGCAATGGATTCATGGTCATCATTAGGCTCTTAATTCCACATTTTTATTGAATTCAAATTCCACCTGCTGCTGTTTTAAACCCAGGTCCCCAGGACATTACCTGGGTCTCTGGATTAACAGTCTAGCAATAGTACCACTAAGCCATTGCTTCCCCACTGCTTTCAAAGAGCTTTATGCCATTTAAGTCCTTTACAAGTGTAGTCCTGTTGTACTTTAAAAAATGCTGCAGCCAATTTGCACGTAGCAAGATCCTGCATGGTGCTTCATGATAATGACCAGTTAACCTTTTGAGTGATGTTGGTTGAGTGATAACTTTGGCCAGGAGAATGTTCATCTCTAATTCAAAATGGGTTCATCGGATTTTCTGTGCCTACCTGAACAGATGAGTGGATGGAGATGTCCTGCAGATCAGATATAATCAGCTAGAGTGGTGTAACCAGCTCAAATAGCCTACTCCCATAAATTTGATACATATTGCAATTGCTATTTTTCTTACTAATCGGTGGTTGTGACAAAAAGAATATGCCACTTACACCCAACCATCATGAACTTCCCAGTGTAAATTACAATCAACTGCACATTAAAACTCATCAGCTCACAAAAAGCCTGTACCTACAGCAAGTAAACCTATCAACAATAATTAGCATTTATATAGAGCCCTTAGTCTTGTATAATACTCCTCAGAAGATTCCACCGTATGTTATACTGACAACCAGCTGCATAATGAGATTACCAGAGCAGATGAACTAAAGCTGTCTTAGACGTATGTTTTAAGGAGTATCTTAAAGGCTCGGGAATTTACCTACGAAATGCCAAGGCTTAGGGCTTAAGCAGCTGGAGAAAAAGTTGCTAATGTTAGAGCAACAAAAATCAGTGTACACAAGAGACTAGAAGTGAAGGAATGCAGAGACCTCAGAGGTTGGGGGATGTCAAAAGTAGTAATGGAGAAGGGAGAGATCTTGAAGGGATTCAAAATCAAGAATGAAATGTCTGAAATTAAGATGTTCCTTGACCAGAAACCAATGCATGTCAGTGGATAAAGCAGCAATAGGTGAAAGGGACTTGTTGCAAATTAAGTCACGGGCAAATCTTTGCTTTGTCCACACACGTGATATGCAGTGGTGTCCCTCAAGCAATCTCATCAATTATCTCTC